TCTAATATCGGTCACCGGATCGCCTCGCTCGCAAGATGTACGCGCGCGGGCGGTGGGTGGACAACTCGATGACCACCAGTTACTCGCACGCTTTTTTTCGCACGTTACCTGAAATATTGGAAAGGTGTCTTACCTTTATAGAATATTTTTTATATACCTATCTACTAGTACGCAATTTGTTTCTAATATTTAGGTATTTCGATTTTTCCATCGGGCAAAATAGTTGGAATAATATATAAATAAGTGGTTAGGATGAAAAAAGAGACAAACGAGTAATCTACCTACACTCGCGTTAAAAACGAAACTACATAAAATACTGTACCTAGGCGGGCGGCCCTACCGCGTGCTAACGCAGCGCTCGGCCGTAGGCATTTATTTCAAGGACAGGGCGGAGTCACAATACTGTATAGATAATATTACCGTGACCTGACGTTCACTGGTTAACAGCGAGGCGTCCACCGATAGCACACCCGACGTTAGCTGACAACGCGGCGTCCTCCTGAGTATGCTCTTCGACCACGAGTGGACTTCGCGCCACGAGGAACACGGACACACACACACTTCCTTTGATTTTGCCTTTGGGAAAGTTTCCTAATTTTCATCATGCAGGATAAAAGACTATTTGATTAGTGAGTCGAGCACCTAAGTTTATGTAGCTGAGTAAAGCTCCTGGGTATCTAAACAAGTAGGTGCACAATTGAGGCTTTAGTTGCTATTCGATAAAATGAAATGGAATGGAATGGAAAAAGCTAGTTTCTTCTGATGTCAAGTAGGGTCGCTACATAAATGCCACAATTAATAAATACGATTCATCCGCATAATAAAATAGCTCTCACGTGACTTTCGCGTCATCTAATAGTCGTATTATTGTTTTTGGACATTGCAAGATATTTCATTGATGCAAATAAAACACTTAAGAAGAATCCTTTTATCAGAGGGCGAAGTAGGTACACTTCAAATCAACATTCGATGGCATTAAAAACTATGTAAGTTAGAGTAGTGTAACGCACTTTCGGTTGCGACGTTCAAGTTAAGCAACTTTCGCAGTGGTCGGTCATTGGATGGGTGACCAAAAATTTACTATATCGAGCTCTTCCATGCTTCGACACTGGAGTTCCGTTCTGCATTTGCAGTCGTTAGCACCCACCAATCCGCACTGGGCCCGTGTGGGAACATTGATGTTGATGAAGTTAGAGTAGGACAAACTATCACGATAACCAAAGCCTTATTAAGGTAGTAGGATCACACCGTTAGCGATCGCCAATGTCGAGAAAGTTCACGTGCTTGCTTCATGCTAGCTTATTCTGCTTTACTGCGAACAACAAACGTATTTACAACACTGATAAAAATAACGATAAAATACTGTTTGTTTATTTTGTTACGGAGCGACAGGAAAACCTTGGCGTATGTAAAAGCAAACATTTTCAAAGTCCTAACTCGAAAATACGTAGAATTAAATATTATATTAATAAATGCATCAGCTTTGTCTTAACTCGTGCTGTTATTCTTTATAAACAATTCACGCAATTGTATATTTCGGTACTGTTGCAAGCGCCATGATCACGGAGTAACAGTCAGTACCCCTGGCACGACCCAATATCGCATTCGTATCGTTTGCGAGTCCGAAATGTAATTGCAAATGTGTACTGATTTTTAGTTCTCGTTACGTACTTTGTGCCGCTGCTGTTCAAGTTTCCATACAAAATTTGACATTGACATTTCGGTTTGCAAACTATTTGAATTCGATAATGGTTCGTGCTAGGGGTACATTTCAGGTCAGTTACTCCGTGATCATGGCGCTTGCAACAGTGCCGAAATATCGGAGACTCGTAAAAACAAGGTACATGGTAGCAATCCCGTTAATAACATAAATTGCTATAGCGGGTATATTGGTTCATTTCAGCAGCCGCCAACGCCACCAAGATTCCGCCTCTTCGTCACCTGACACTACCTATAGCAGTTTCCACTGCTGAAAGTATTCAAAATTTTACTTCAACCCGCGCCGCTGCCATATAGATTTTTCTCACAATCTGGAGAAAACCTCATATCAATAACGAAAGTAATTCTCTGATGGAAATGTTACGTTAACACAAAGAAAACGACAGAGTTCAAAAAGGCATAAAGTCGACACACAAGTGGTGTTCATAACTTATGCCTACATTTTCTTAAAATTATTGCAGTTGCAATTGTTAAGTAATCCACCCACAGACCTAATAAACCAATGTCTTTGTAAGAAGTATAGCGTAAACTATAGGTTTTCCATTTCATAAAATTAAAAACAAACTGTTCAAACATTATTTTATGCTTTTATTTAAATAACACAAAAGAACTCGACAGTTCAAAAGAATATTTGCAATTACAACTGTGAAGAACATAGATTCATTATGTTTAATTGCTGAAGTACAGCATATTGCAAGACAGATGCAATGTTATTAGCCCCAAATTGCATAAAACATAATAATTAGCATTAGTATTAATTACGTGTTTTATTTCAACAAAATAAATGAGATATCGTCTCTCAGTCACTCCAACGTTTAACTTTCAAAGGAGATGGTTCAAAAGTGGTAGTCGGTGTACGGCAGCGACGAAACATATAGGTATCATTTAAAAACTTATTTTTGATTAAGTATAAAATGAACAGATACTTTATATTTTTTGTTTTTCTCAAATTAATTTTAAATCGTATAAAAAACTAAACAATTTTGTAAGGAAGCTGGCCACCCTGTCATAAGTAACGTTATATTTTTAGTATGTGGCAGCTTATAACGTCAACCTAATCACTATGGCTAATGTCAATCAGTCCAGTCATACTTGATATTCTTGAAATCATGGTGAACTTATTATACCAATAGTCGATTCATTCTTCTTGAAATAAAATACCCACAAAATACCTCATAATTGAATGATCAAACGAACTTACTTAATTGAAGTTCGATCTGAATTATCCTGTTATCGCCGAAGAGATTTATTTTTCTTTACTATGTAGTACCTACCCGCAGTACGACCAGCCAGTATGCACACAGTTTAGAGCGTAGTAAAAAAAATGGGAAGGAACCCCTCTCTTCACCACGCCTCGGCGCCGCTACTCGTCGGCGTCGGTTCGATGCTCATATATTTTAGAGAATAAGAAACATCATTGACGATGTTATCCTAGATAAGTAGGGGGTAAAAAATATTAGGGTGGGCGGGATCCTAAATCTCTTCGGCTATAACAGGATAATTCAGATCGAACTTCACTATGGTAAGTTCTTTTGATCATTCAATTATCCTGTTATCACCGATGAAATTTATTTTTCTTTACTATGTAGGTGTTCAGAGAGTAAAAGTCAATGTTGTTAAGAAATAAATAGGATATTATCCGACATAAATTATGATATTCAGTACCAACATGCGTTAAGCTCTGCTAAACCGTTTTTCTCAGGAACGCGTGGAGGTGTCAAACTGAAATTCATATCTAATACTCAACTGTCTACTGTCCCTTGGAGCTGTGAAAATCTAAGATAATAACAAATAAAATCCAATCAAAAAACATAATATACTTACTTTCTTATTAGAACCTAAAAATATATATATTTAAAGTATCGATATGAGTAAGTATCGAACAAAGATCTAAATACTACTTATATGAAGTGGGATGAAAATAGGTATCGATACCTTGGGGGTATTGAAACATCCTTACATTACACTACTACCATAGCACGGTTGATAATAGCACCTACTTTTAATCACGATACCTATACTTAACAGGAATTGCACTTAAGTTAACTACATTTAACATTTGCACATGTGCCAATATGTGTATTACGTCTTCCGCACAAAATTGTCATTGTGGTAATCAACGTACTGTTGCCCTTGTTAAAAATCTATTTTTACAGACTGTCACTCGTATAATTAATGGAAATTATCTCTATGCTGTGTTATCTCAACTGAGTATACTATACACCACATGCCTGTTTATTTGCATGACCAATTAGATTCAGTCAGCTGAACACAAGGGGTCACATTACTATTAAGCAAATTCATGTATTATATTGATCGACTTTATTTACCTATAGTCTGTTTCTTTCATTTTATGGAGAGTTCAAGTAGGAAATCTTTTCATACTTATATTTTTTATAGCCAGGTAGGCAAATGACTCTACCCCACCTGATTTTAAGTGGAGGTAGAATCCAAACGCGAAGATAGCTGATACAGCAGTTATAAACTGCCACACCACCCATCCTCACGTTGCCGGCCTGCAAAAATGCTTTTACACGCCTCTCTTAAAGAACCCCAACTTGTAGAAAGAAGGGAACACGTGCGCGGGCAAAAAATTCCACTTGCCAATAGTACGACAAAGAAATGAGTCTCCAAATTTCTTTGTTCGTGTAGGAATAGTGGTCACAGTAAGTCGGTGCCAAAGAAGGCCAGCGCGCGTGGTCCTCTGAAGAAAAGGTGATGTGGTGGGATAAGGGAGGTAACTCCTCAGAACCCACCGTGGTATAGTCGGTTAAACGCGCTTAATGATGCCACATCGCGGCGTAATTATAGAGACTCGAGTTTCTTAGGCCCGTATTATAGAAAATTTCTCAGTGATTGATCTAGTCTTGAGCATAGTTAGAAAGGGATGTCGCTATATATAGCAGATAGCGACATCCCTTTCTAGCTATACTCAAGTAAAGATCAACACTTAGTTGTCATTCTGTAATAAGGGCCTTAGTTACCTCTTCATAGCCATAGCAGCGCGCCGCTGCAACATATCCAAGGCATCAAGTCAGTACTTAGCGGAGCTATGCCATCCCACAGGTAGATGTAGAGGAGAATTTTTAAATGTACAAATTATTTTACTTCAATGAAAACAAATGGGAACTAAGTACCAGCCTAACGAATTTCTTACCTTCCTTACAAATAGGATTAAAAAACAAGGTATCTCCATATAAATTAAAAAAGAAAAAAAAAAACATATCTTAAATTTTGGTCTCGAAATCTAGACCGATGTTACTGGAGGTGAAATAAAAAGAGAATTTATAAGCACTAGCTTTATTTCAATAAGTAGGTATAAAAGATATACAATCCAATGCATTGAAGCATGGTGGATACAAGTAACATGGGCAGGAGAAACATTATTTCTTCGCTAATAGATAAATCATATTAGTATATGTAGAAGTCGTAGTGTGATATGATAAATCGAATTTAAATACGGATAATGAGACAATGGCGACAACATTGCTTAATAAAGAAATTTTCTTCATGGTTACAACACTAACCTAACCAAGTATGAACCCAAGAATATATTTATGATGAGGAAACGATTTTTCCGCAATCTTTCTGAGGCGACTCGCGTTTTCGCAAAATCCCTAGATTTATTTCGAAAATTCGATTTATCATCTTTCGACATTATGTACAAAGAGACATATAGTTTTCCTGCCTTTTGCCTAATATTTTTTACAAATTTTAAATCGATAGTGGTGTCGATTCTGGCATCATTCTCTAAACCTAAACTTAAATTTGACAACAGTGTATCCCCGTCATTCTCTATACAGATTGAGGAGAGACTGATGTTAAATTTAGTTTTAAGTTTAGAGAATCATGTCAGAATTAGACACCAGTGAATGCTTATGGGCATTAAGTGGACGCAACCTCATGTTTACAAGCCCTTTGCTTTACTCAAGTCTCATCCTACATGTACTGGGTATGAGTCTGAGCTTATTACAAAAAGCTACATAATATAAATACAGTTCAAAGTAGCAAAAATGATTTATTACTTATAGCACTATTAACAGTTGTAGTTTCAATACCGTTTTTAACATCTTATTTTAAGTAATTACAATAAATTTATATCATCAGTGTTTTATTGCAGAGTTAAACTTTTCGTAAAACACTTAAATATACTTAAATAGGAATGTGTATTCGTATGTGAAACTTTTTTATTTAACCAATAAATTAGAATAACAAGATAACTATTTATATCTATTTTTTTAAATCTAAGTAACAAATGTTTTAATAATAATGCTTGAATATTTGGTAAGTAGGTAAGGTATATTAAGATATCATTGATTTAAGATATATTATCTAATTATTATCAAAATCACACATATATGCCATTATTGCTATTACAAAATTTAATTTTATACTAAATAAAAATATTATGATAAAATTATTAGGATTTAAAAATTTAACTGGTTACAATAAAATCAACTAATTTATTTAATAGTTCGGGGGGGGGGGGGGATAATTAATTAGGGGGGTTAATACCCCTTGATGATCAGCTTTAATACAATGGGGTTTAAGTATTTTAAAGTTCCTTTCATTATAGGTATGTATGCGCTCAAATAGTAGCAGATGGTGGTTCAAATCCCAGGAAACCTGGACCCTGTAATTTTTTTGATCTAATATTTTTTTTTATTTAAAGATCTAGCAGTTAAATGCTTGAAAATAAAAATTTTATAATTCCTGAAAAAACTTTTTAATATAATCTGGTAACACGTAATTCCGTTCATGTCAAGCCAACTGAAAAGCTGGTGCCATCGGTTGATAGGTACTATTATGAAAGTTTTATGTCATATGGCCCGACTCAATTCCTTATAGAAGCAACATTACGACACCGAACAGTGTCGTGCAAGTAATATGCATATAAGCACATACGCTAGACCTAGAGCATGTATAGATGGCACCATCTTAAGATACTATGTACTCTCTGAAAAATACATTCCAGGGCATGAAATTTTTAAAATTGTACGTATTTCAAAAGTACCTAAAATAAAAGAAAAAACTAAAACGAAAGTATCTAATATAGTTCCTTATGTAATTGTCTATTATTTTAACAATATATAATAACTACACGTTCATGTAGCATACAAAAACATTTTACATAAATTGTTTATATTACACAATATTTAACAACACTTACCTAGTGACAGTTCAGCCCAGAACGGCTAGGTATCTCTTATTGCAATAAAAACATCATAAAAATAATAACTGGCATAAACCCGAGATAACATTAAAGTTTACTTTGTACAATCAACAACACGTCAGATCATCCAAAACATGAAAACATTGTAACCAAAACCTTTATTATAACATTTATTTTATTTTTATTTTTTCCATATATCCATTCAATTATGTGTATAATTAAATAAATTAGCTAATTACTTGTAGTAGGGGAAGAATCTGGAAGAAAGAGGCACCTAAGCACAGGGGCAGATTTGAACTAGATACCTGAACGCAACTTTGTATTACGCGCTAGATATGTCAAATGTGATGTCCCATTGCGCTTTTTTATAGTTGTTAAATCTAGTTTTTCCATATAAGTTTAGGCGCAGCTTCACAATGGCCCATGATGGAAGATTAGATTAAAACCGTGGCCATCATCACCATGTGTCTCGTGGGCCAGAAGAAACCGATCAGAAAGGCAGTTCAAGTATTTTTGATCAGTTCTTCATGGCAAATGGTTCATTTGAAATGCCTGGTATTCAGACACCAGAAGCTTCACCAGGTGGTCACTAATGGGTCACACCGCAAAGATCAGCTAGGCTAGAAGAAACTGATAAGAGATTCTGCAGCCCAAATTTACGCAATACTAATGATATGTCTCATGAAGTATTCATAACTCCAGAAATTATTAAACCTCATGTGGAAAAGGACGATAAAAAGGGAGTTCTTACATTTTTATTGACACCCCAGAAAATAATGTAATAGAAGAATCTTATTTAAACCGTATAAAAAAAATGTCTGCTACTTATTCACATACAAAAGAGGAGAAACTTCATACCAAAGTGAAGCCAAAAGACAAGAAACTACCTACAGTCAAATCTAAGCCGAAAATGAGATCATTGTTCACATCAAGCTGTGAATCTGATGATCATATAGACCACATCTTCATGAATGACGACACAGACATGGATGCGACTGATGCAAGTGATGGGGGCAGGAAGGTTGAAGGAACCCCCCGACCACCCCCCTCACACACACACCGCGGAACGTTGAAGTAACTCGTAACATGACGTCGTATAACGTGACATAACGTCACACTTTTTCGTGTTTGCAGCCGGTGTTATATGCCGTTATCACTTTAGAAACTAGGATATCATCATACAGTTTTCATTAAATTGAAACGTATCATCATTTTTATACCAATCAAACACTAAGGCCAACTTGCAGCAAATTTGCTAAATCTTAATATAACTAAAACTAGTTTGACATTTTTCTATGGGATATATCTAGTTTTAGTTGAATTGAATCTAGATTAAGCAAATTTGCTGCAAGTGGGCCTGAGAAAGCAAAAAAATATATTTTGTTTCAATTTCTTTTCACAGTTTATTTGTTATGAATCAGAATATGAAAAATGTGCTGAGGTACCTCCTTTACTCCTAAGACTGTACTGCAATTCTGTAAAATTTTACAGTTCTGAATTTAGTTGCAAAATTTTGGGTAGTTTAGTAGGGACTATACTATTTGATATTTATAGGACATTTATTAGTATAGTGCTCTCAACTGTATTTACCTAGTAAACTGAAAACACAAGACTAAGAGATCCAAAAAGGGAATCATCCAATCCAATTAGAATATAGATTCTAAATTCGAAGCAATAGGGTTCCTTATATCTATATTTTTTATCACTTCTTTACTTCCCAAAGATCATTCACCTTGCTAGTGTCAACCAATAACAGGCACCATTTACATACGAATTTCGTTTTACACGGTTGTCTCACTTCTTTCTTAAATAATGTAAAAAATCACGTTGTCCATATTCTAGATTGTCAGTCTTGAAAACAAACCTCACACTGTTTATCAATGTCCACAAACTCACTTGTGCCTTATAAAAAACAGTTCATTTCCATCACAATAGTAGTAAACCACTTGGATATTGTCTGAATAATGGTTCAATCTTGTCTCAAGTCACACACACTGCCGTCACATGATTTTATTATATAGCCTTAAAATTTATAATAACGATAACTTTTAACAATTTTTCAGTCAATGTAATAATAAATCACCAAATTCGGTGCGAATTTTTAGTTACCTTAGCTGTTTTTTCCCCTAAATAGGTACACCTGCGATATAATATTTTAACTCGACCCTCTAGGTCTATTATGCATGAGGTATTTATTATCAGTACTGCCATGCCAGCTCCTCCAGGAAGTCCAGCAGTCAACGAATATCGTTGCAGGTTTCTAATAGTGCCTGCGAAGCTCCCATGTGCGAAGTCCTGTGTCTAGCAACGCCTTGCGATATAAAGAGTATCGCTCATATTTTGACTTGTCTCTTTCTGATTATCATTAAATAAATAAACAGATTAAATAATTCTCATCTCTTACCTAGCATAATTTCCATAATTCAGACTCTCTGGACACTCATATCATTTTCTTCCGGGCCCTATTCCCCGTGGATCTCTGTCCCGTATCTCGGGCTACTTCCTCCATGTACTATGACGGTGGACCTTGGTATTCGCTTGACACTTCTGGGCAATCATGGTTTTCTTCGTCTTGAGGAATCTCTCCCGGAAGTAATATGTAACGGGCTTCCCTAGAAAAAAAGACGAGAAAAGGTGAGTAAGGTCTATCCGATTTAGTGGTACTTATTTATTAATTATTTTATGTTTCACAATAAACTAGGTAGAAATCTTATCGTAACGACTATAAAAAAGATTTGACCAACCCCTAATCCTCTAATACCTTATTCGAACAAGGTTCTTAGACATTTGAAGGATAACTGTAGCTTGACCGCCGTAAAGTCGACCCTCCCGATGGTCCCCGAGACGCGGAAGAGGGTTGTGCTCGACGAATCAAACACAGTAGCCTGTCAGCTGCTGACAGCGATACGTTCAAAATAGAGCTCGCGCGGTTGCAGCTTTGTGTCCACTACACATGAGATTAATTTACGGAATGCATACAACAAACTGAAATTACTGAGTGTACGTAATAAAAGGGTAAGAAGTCTAGCAAAGATTATGCTTTTAAATGTAGTGAATTAAATTAATACATTATTTTATATTTAAATATGTATATTTTTCTTTGTAACAATATTTATGACAAAACTACGTATTACATTGAAATAAATGTGGGTACATATTACAAAGTCAAAATATATTATTTATGAGTAATAAATTATTACATTAATACATTCGTAATACTAAAACAAATAGTAAAACTTAAAATTACAACACGAAGATTTTAATATCATGAGATATCTCGTTGTGTGCGTGTGTACCCGCGTACGCACCCGCCCGCCCCGCGTTCCGCGTACCATCAGGAGGGTCGACTTACGGCGGTCAAGCAAAGATATGAAATACCCTAGATACACCACGAGCGCTCAAAATGTGTCCCAATCAAGAAGTGCTTGAACTCCACTCAAGCACTTCTTGGTTCACAGTCACGCGCGGACCGTTACAAAGTCAAGATGCCACAGAGCTCCGCGAAAAAATGCGAAAATAATACTTAGAGTACGAAAAGTGTCGTTTTTTCGTCAGGTATCTAGTCAATGTTTGTTATTTTAGGGCATTTGAAGTTAATTTTGATCTAATACTTACTATAAACTGATTTAATATAAAACATTTGTGATATTCAAATGCATGGTCGGTTATACGTCGCCATATAGCCGTCTCTATTCCTCGCGGTCCGTGCCTGCTATATTGTTAACAGCGCGTTCAGAATTGCGCGTAGAGTCAAAGAACTAAGGTCTAAATTCTTCCGCATAAAGCAATCAGTCGTAAAATTTTACGAGCTTGCATTTCGAACTGTCAGAAGTCCTTGACGCATGCGTTTTAATTAAGACCTTATACAATATGTATTAAAGTTTACTTTCAATATTTAAATAATGCCTTATACTGATTTTGACTACGCGATTATCTTACGGAGCTCCGTGGATCGTTCAATGTACCTTTTGGACAGGTTACGGGCACGATTTTGTTCGTGTTGGTGCATCTAGGATATTTAATATCGCAACGATATTAAATATAAACGGTCAAGCTTTAACCTTCAAATCATAGCTTCAACTACAGATTTAATATACTTCGGAATTCAAAACCGGAATCCTAATTCAATTTCTGTCGATACCTTTCAAATGTCGAATTGAGAAATATCGTAGTAGAAGTTGAAGTTCGACACAAAAATATGGAGGAGAACGCAGGATTATCTACCATATAGGTACCGAGGAACACACTGTTTACTTGTCTTCTTTCGATTGAGGAATGTTGCAGGATGAATTAGTTCATACAAATCCTGTGCAAACGCCCCGAAATATAACCTAAAGAAAACGCACTGACTCACAAGTAGACTGCGATGTTCGAGACACTAAAGTGTCGCACCGCCGATAACTTTCCTAGCACGTCTGACAATAGCTTGCGGGGGGCTAAAAGCTGGTAGTGGATGAATTCATTCCTTAACCAATACTCTATGCGATGCTGCAAACCTGTGCTAAAGGCTTTTTGATCAGAGAAAAGACACGCTAGGTTTTTGTGGCGTTAGACCTGACAGTATTGACATTACCGATTTAAACACTATAAGATGAGATTTGTTAGCGTGCTCACCAAACAACTTTCACATTGTGTATAAAGTAAAAGTCACCGTCATTTCTTGCTGATTCAAGTCTTCTGCCACAAAATTGCAGATTGATGTGTAGAGTTGGTACATTCACAAGTACTAAAAACAAGCATGGGTTGTATAATATTGTTCGTACATTCAAAAGTACTAAGTAACAAGCATGGGTTGTATAAACTATATACCTCTCTTCTTACTAAGAGCACGAGCTGATTAGAATTCGGCATCCAGTTCTTTAGCACCACCTCATATTATTTATTCTTTACTATATTACTCTGTTATATGGTGCATTCACTTTTTTACACTTGGGTTTTCTCTAATGTTAAATGATTTTCATACATATACGTATAATATAGTCTCACAGAAGTATAGTCTTCCTTTTTCCGATATTATATTTTGAGGGATCTTGATCTTGTTAAAAATAGAAGCCCCCAAAAATAATGATCGACGTCTAGTGTGAAGATCCAATAAGCATTTACAAAAAAAAACAAAACATAGAGGCCTGGTACAACTACTTATTATTCTATAGGTAAAATTTCTTTTACATATATCTTATTTTCGAGGAGGAAATCGTCGAGAGACAAACCTGGAACTATGCAATTTTCATGCACAATTTTCAACGTTACCTACTCTTATCCCTATCGCACAATATTTGCCAATTCGCGACAGCAATAGCTTTTTCAAATACCTATTTTTCAAACGTCTCTACTCGCGTCCGCTCTTAAGGCCACAGGCCGCGCCAAGTTCCGAGGCTGGTACAGGCATGGATATTTTTTTCGAAAACACTGTCTCATTTAATTCATCCTTTTATTATAAGTACATCAAATACAAAATTTTAAGGCTCCGATATATCTCTAAGTTTTTTCGCTAATTTTTTTTTTTCAATATTGCTGCCAGGTTTTCCGGGAAGGCTCACTGTTTTTATGTGGAATTTCAGGCAAGTCACAAGAAGTTAACGTGGTTCAGAACAATGGGTAACAGAAGTATTTTACTTAGCGTTTTTAGTGCCGCTCTCAGCGTATATTTTCGGCTCGAAATTCAACAGCAACTAGTCGCAAATCTGCAGAAAGTTAAACAACAGGCCTACGTACTACGAACCTATTGATCTCGTGTACCCCACGAGTGGTTTATGCAGAATAACGTCTCTCTCTCACACACACACACAACATTCATACCATAAAACCCCAATTGTTCCTATGAACGGGATGTTCATAGTTAATATCAAACAAAGAGATTCGGAACACATTTTTTTATATGCTAAATATTTGTCCACACATGAACTGAACGACCTAACATTGATTAATTTAATACAGCGCCTTCCCTGAAATCTGAGCCTTGCAGCACCACTCCATATCTCGAAATTTGAATTAAGATTATTCGTCAAAAATCTGCTAGAACCACAATTTTGCATTATCACATTATATGGAAGAATAATTCATTTCAGAATAAAATCATTTTTAAAAGTTGTTATTTTCATTTAGTAGTTAATGATACCACCTTGTCGAACTTGTCGCTGGAACTATTCGAGATTGCATTTCGTCTCCGCTAATCTTTTCACCACCTCATATTACTAGACTCTGCTTTGAAGCATTTCGCTTTAAGCCATTAGAAAGCCCATGTATGCGTCGTGAATATCTATGGTTAGATATCTATCTCGACAGCTTAAATTTTTAAGTTCATCGGAACTTATTACCGTTTAAACAAATATTATGACTAATTGGGATTCGAAGTCATTCAACCGTGTGTATAGACGATTTAAATTCATCTTGCTGGATTTTATTTGTTTAGAGATAGGTACGATAAATGACTCCACCCACCTGATGTTAAGTGACGGTGAAGACCAGACGTGAAGATAGATTGTTAACAGGCTTTTGACTTCTTCTGTCACAGTCTATGTTCATAAATCTAGTGCTGTCTTTACCAGCCGTTGGCTCTGGCTACACACTTATTAATACAACCAACCGTCCTAGGTCCACAGGCTACAAATAATACCTACGTACTGCATATCACCTACCTTTTTTGAGATCTTCAGTCTAAGTTCACAAGACTGCGAGACCCATATGCACTCACATGACAGCGGAGACATTACGCACTGTACTCGTAAAAATTTGTTAACTTTCATCGTCATTCATTTTATGAACTTTGCCTTGTTCAGTTTCAATCGCTTTCATTATTCATTTATAAGTCGGCAATCTCATCCGTCTAAATCAGTGGATTTTCTAATATTAGGCACTTTGCAGACGACGGGGCGGAGCGGGCCGGTCAATTTCGCCGCGAATAATAGCACAAAGTGAATCCTATACTTCAAACGCACACAGAAGGCAAAAAGACCGCGCCGCAGGTGCCCGGCGTGGATCATACAAACCAGTTTATATGCAGTAACGCAGACGACGGCGCGGGGCGGTCAGCTCAGTCCGCGCCACGCGCTTGTAGAACGAACGTTCTGAACTGACCGCCTCTGCCCGTCGTGTGCTTTGTGTACGCGGCGCGGGCAGCCGCAGACATCGACGGGCCGACGGGGTTTTTATTGCTTCGCGGACAAAATGCCCGCCCCGCCCCGTCGTCTGCTCAACGCCTTAAGTTATGAATATTGGTGCAAGCAGCCATTTGACTTGACTTATTTTTTTATTGCCGCGGAATTGAATGGAAGTGAAAATTTGCATGGCATAATGAACCTTATATCAATGTTCCCGCCCATTCTTGAAAATCGACCAATTTTTGGCTTGCATTTAGTTTGTATGTTGTATGTATGTCATAAAGTTCAATATGCCATGCACGCACATGAAAATTCGATTCCATTCCATTCAGCGACGGGACAGATTAAATTTAGCCTTTGTCCAAAAGGTGAGAATTCACCACAAATGTACTCGCAAATACGCGCTTCTGTTGTTTCCAAGAGGAGATTAAGGAGAGAAACGGAGATAGCCATTTTTCTATATAGCACACCATGAACATGGCATATAACTATCGAATGAGAAGATTGTCGAAGAAATCGCACCTTATCAATTAAGACCCAAACTTAAACGAGCCTTTGAATGGCTATATGGCCTATGGTAGCGTTATGAACTTATGGGTAATTAAAATAGCACTTAACGTTTCGGTTAGAAAGGTCATAATTAAAACACAGCAAAACCAGAATACATTTATTTTTTACCATAAATTAGAAAAAACTTAAAAACTATTACTTACTATAAACAAATTACAAATTCCTTCTTATCAGTATTTGAATAATATTTTTTTTTTTGACGTTGTGAATATATTTTTTGTTAGACGTTTTTGTTTAAGGAAGGGTAATTAAAATGCAGAAGTTATTTAATACACATTTTAATATAAAATGTGTTGGGCATCACAGATCATTAAAACAAATATGACTACGTCATTTTTAACAAAATAATTTAACAACATCGGAACATTATACGTTTCCAACATATTTTAGATTTGAACGTTTAATATAAAACAAATGTAATAATTTAACAAAATAAAACTTTTGAAAGAACGTCTAGGACGTGATTATGCAATGACAGCATGTAAGAATTCATATTTTTAGTAGAAAAAAATCTATGTTTTTAATAGTACTAATGCATTTCTATAAAAAGCTTCACTGTTTAAAAACAATAACATGAAATTTTACATAAGCACGACCATGTTAATTTAATACATATTTGCATCTTTTCTAGCATTAAAATATCTTTTTTTATAAAGCAGAATATTGTTATACATACAAGTCAGTACCTCACACATCGCAGTTGTCTCGACCGGACAAACAATACAAAAAAGGCGATAATAAAAATTGAGCGGCTACATAAATAGTTACCCAACCAAATAAAAAATGGCTGAACTTCCGTGAATTCATTTCTCAAATCACATCGTAAAACCTGATATAAACTTTATTATTGATAATACTAAGACAAAATAATAAAAAAAAAAAACTATACATTACCTTTATTGCAAATTGATTGCGAGTCTGGTTGAGTTTTCACCATAATCGAGCAGTTGTCTATCTATAGAAATTATTATTTTTTCTAATACAGTCCATTATAAACAAAATCAGTCTATGTATAGTCTTGCAATAAGGTCTCAATTTGTCAGGTCTTCTAATTATGTAATATTATATTAGTATGACGTAATTTTTTTGCAGTAGAATTAGCTATATTACATAATTATATACTTTCAAATTTTAGTTTACATTAACGTGTCTTGGAATATTTTTTACAATTTCAAAAAGATGTCACATGTCAAGCAATAATTGGGTTGCTGGTGAGTGCGTTCTTAAGTGATAACGAAAAAACATTACAATTTAGAGGAATCGGCAGGACTGACAGTTCAAAATAACAATGTGTAGTCTAAGCAAATGTCAAAGTTTAAAATAACTTCCAGGGGGTTTTGTTAAATTAAACAGATTTACCTACTACATAAAAAACTTCAGTGGAATGTTAATATTGGAATTCATAAGGTGGAATGCACAGTTATGGCAGCATTGGTGAATAGAACTTGTATTTAGTAGGAATAAGAGCTATATAATAATAGCAAGTGTATTGACAGTCGTGGTATCTACAGTACAAAGCGACTTCCTATATTGTGTACGTTCTGCTTATGATAAGCATTATAATTTACTTGTGTGTCTTGAATGGTGTGATACAATAAGCAATATTATTATCATTTAGCGAGAAAAGGCAATCATTACAGCTTCAATATAATAAGAGTTATTTTTATAGCATGAATCTATTTTTGTGAAACAAATGAAAAGGGAATTATCTTGATCAAGTTGTTACATCATTCTTAATCACAAATTGATAGTGTCTGATGATATATGAATAACAATTAAAACAAGTGGACGGCTTTATCAACTGTTGCATTACACATTAAACTTTAATTTATGTGACACCTAAAACAGCCGATGGCGTTGAAAGCTTTTAAAAGTAAGAAAATTACTAATTAAAAAATGCTACTGAAATGCGGATAGCGTCAGACTTTTCCCTCCAAATCGTATTTCTTCTCATCGGCGTGCCTACGGAACAAAAAATCGAATTACAAAGCAATTCGCACAACTAATAAATTAGTTACACGTAACTTACTACAGGTTACAAAGCTTAGACAGTTAGGTTAAATAAAGAGTAACAGAAAAAGTGTGAAATACATACCACGTCGAAGTAATCATTACGTACTCCACTGAGCGATCGTTCTTCAAACTATCCGAAATATCGTCACTATTATCCTCAACTATAACAAATTCCTTGCCCTCTCTGAAATTATCAATGACAAAAATAGGATTTCTTTAGCGAAATTCATCAAGAAAACAAAATGGCGCCCTTAAAAGCGTTCGTTGGCCCGTTGTGTGCATTATTTGATAGGCGTTCCGTTTCAAGCAAGCGGGTTATTGTCAAAACACACGTGTTCTTTCTGTTTTTATATGTGATTCTTGTAGCTTGGGTGTGTTGTGAATTTGAATTTTCATCTCCGAACGATCCATTTTTGTGTAATGCATGTTTGTTTAAGGCGTCGGTAAAAAATGATTTCATTCCATGCATTTATATTCATCATCAATTTTCTATTGTCAAGCCTCTTTCTGTCGAAATGTCCGTAGAAATTGTTTCGGTGCAGATCTTCATTTTTAGTGGTTGCAACATTTTCTTCATTTTCAAGCGCATGCTTTTTAAATGAATTTCTATCAATATATGCTTTCATGCCAGTAACTTTCTAAATTTGGTGAATTGGTGAGCGATCCTTTACTTATGTTTATACCGACTTCAAAAAAGATGAAGTTCACCATTTGGTTGGTATTTTTTCTCCATACGATTCTTCTTGTAGACAATGAGTATGTGATGAAGAGTGAGTCCAGTTTGTATCGAAGTGTAAGATAGTGAAATGTTAGAAGTATCGAGAGCTTACGCACTATGTTAGTTCACCCCAAAACCGGATTAAAGAAAGTCGACAAAACAAAATTATCAACAAAACGAAGGCCGGAAAGCAAAAAACAACCATTGGCATGTTCAAAAATTTCCACACTCGAGATTTAACCATTATATATTCGGTTTGGTCGTAGTTATACGAACTGTTAGTAACAATTTCAAATGACATCGAGACTGCTTTTATTTACGTAGCAATAAGAGGTATATTTGGATTGCATGTGTATGCACTATAACGACCTTGATTAATACATCTGTCGAAAAATGCAATTTTTAAAACTGCTTTTAATTAATAAATATTTCGTATCCATTCCAAACTGACTTATTAGTTTATTTAATCAAACGTGGTGTCTTCTTGCATAACTACGGCCAACCGAGAATCGACATGCGTTTTGTACCGTACATGAACCAGTTAATGATAACACTTTACATGATTAATCGTGATTGCTATTTCTCTATTTCACAGCAGTCTCTATCCCCATCATACCCTTTATGGAATGAAAAGGAAAGACTGTTGTATTTTCTTTAAAATAGCAAATACTAAAAACTCTGTAAAGTGTCAGCATAACACGAAAAGATTATACTCTAAATCATTCGTTTTAGTCACGCTTGCAATGATTAGTATTGCGACACTAAATACTAAATCATCTCGACGTACATCTTTGCAGTTTAAAATTTATAACAAATTCAAATAAACTGTACAAAAAATAGTTTTGTTTACTAATAGTGATTGTTATTTCTGCTAAGACATAAAGGTTTTCCAGATTGTGACGAACGATATTTGTGAAGCCATTCTTAAAGAACTTTCCCGCTTCAAATGGTTTATTGTTTTTGAAAATACATTTTATCCTTTATTTCAACCCCTTAAGTTTCATTTTTGCGGCAAAATGTACAAATCCTTTTCATCTTTATACCAAACTAAATTGAATTCGATTAATAACTGATAGACTGATGTAAGTAAGGACACAACACTCATTTTAAAAATAAGTTATCGTAAACATCATTTATTTGATTCTGCGGCGATCTACATGAGATGAAACTTATTTGAATAAATCATGTAATAAGCAAATACAACTATTTAGTTAATAAATAATTTCTTTAGCAAAGCGTGACCAAATTGCATTGAAATTAAACACTTCTACGATTATAAATTCCTAAAAATCTGTAGACGCGTTTACGAACTTGTGGATGTAAAATAACACTACCAAAAGTAGTTTTTTTACCTCTTATTAAACTGGAAATGATGATGATGATGATGACTAGCAATTTCATAAAAAATGTAAAAGATGGCAAAATTACAGTAAAACGAGGCGTTTTGACACAACGAATTCTTAAATATATTCCGACCGAAAAATACACAACATAAAGTGTTTACTTCCAACGAATTACATAATGTATCAAAAGGCCTTTTTAAACACCGAAACATACCTGTAGAAAACGTAGTGTTGCAGTATGAAGAATATGTCGAAGATGAGACTGAATAAGCCTAAGCCGAATTTGGTCGCGTCGCCGAAGAACGACACCCAGTCGTTGTAGTTGTAGGCGTTGAGCGCCATCTGCAGGATGGACAGGAAACCGCCCACGAAGTCGAGGAATATGTTGCCTATCGACCAACCCACGGTGGACTTGCGTTGGTAATTCATGTAAGCCTGCGTACGAGAATATCACGTTAATTGTGTCTGGCATGGCGTGTAAATAGCCTAACCACTGGGTGCGGGTTTGACAATGAATATTGATTGTATACGGCGGACGAATTATTACGCACAAGTTGGTTGAACACAAAGAAACATCAACAATGCACCTGGATGTCTCTATGTTTCCTTATCGGAGCTTGCAAGCGTGGGCACAGCACAAGCAGCTCCTTCCTTCGTCCTTTGGGTATGCGGTTGAAGAATTTTCTACTCGATTTCAGCGAAAAGAAGCGATGCGAGTTTATAAATGTGTACACGACCGTTCGGTACCAAGATGTAACAGCAGAGAGGGGCCGTTGAAAATGACGAACCAACGACCGTTATTATTGTTTGAGTACCCGCGCATAAGAATATTCGCGGTACCCACATATCTGCCACCTGAACAGGTTCGCATATCGAACACCGGGTGGAGCCAGTGAGCATAATTATTGCCCATCCGAAACCCAAATGCGAACATTGTTGATATAAGAAAACTCATACATAATAGAACGCCCAACCAGTGTCGATTCTGGCATGATTCTTTAAGCGTAAAATAGAATTTGAAGCCAATAATTCTCTATACAGAATGAAAAAAAAAAAAAAAATAGTTTTAAGTTTATTGAACCACGCCAGAATCTAACCAACCAATAAATGAATTAATCCATACTAATATTATAAATGCGAAAGTGTGTCTATATGTTACCTCTTCACTATTAAACCAATGAAACGATTTACATGAAATTTGGTATAGGAAAGTTCGAGTCCCGTGAAAGAATAAAGCTACCCGCTTTAATACCCGAAATTATTCTTTAAGGGGCGAAAAGGGGGGAAGTTGGAGTTTGTATTGAAAACCCAATCAAAGCAGGGCCTTTCCCAGCAGTGGTAATATTAGCCTGATAGTAAATTGAATCTATACATATAAACAAAGTTGGAGTGTCTGTTTGTAATATTGAAATAACCACTATGTAGTAAACATGCATACGAATACGGTACATACACCATACTAACATTTTTTACAATTTTTGTCAGTCTCTGTCTGTTTGTTCCGAATTATCTCTGTAATGGCTGGACCGATTTTGACGGGACTTTTATTGGCAGGTAGCTGATATAATAAGGAGTAACTTAGGCTTTAGCGAGGAGCTCGATGGCGCAGGTGGTTAGCGCGTTCGGCTGCGATTGTTGAAGTTAAGCAACTTTCGCAGTGGTCGGTCATTGGATGGGTGGCCAAAAATCTTCTATCTCGAGTTCCTCCGTGCTTCGGAAAGCACGTTAAGCCGTTGGTCCCGGCTGCATATGCAGTCGTTAGTACCCGCCAATCCGCACTGGACCCGCGGGGTCATGGCCCAATCTTACTATTCCATCCATAGGGAAGGCCTGTGCCTCAGCAGTGGGGACATTAATAGGCAGATGATGATGATGATGATGATAGGCTTTTATTTTAGAAAAAATATTTTATTTTACAATAAAAAAAACTAAAATTTAACGCGGATGAAGTCGCGGGCGGCCGCTAATCAAATATAAATACTGCGTCACATATTTGATGAGTGTAATGACCAGTTTGATACAGCTGCAGTAGTAGAGGAAGTCCAGCTATTTGCACCAGCTGCGGGGACAGGCTAATAATTATAAATATAATGTTATAAACACCTGCGGCACATATTTGATGAGTGTATTGGCCAGTTTGATATAGCAGCTGCAGTAGTAGAGGAAATCCAAGTAATTAACGACACTTTTAGGCTGATGATGACAGAATATAATGTAAATACCTGCGGCACATATTTGATGAGTGTGATGGCCAATTTGATATAGCTGCAGTAGTACAAAAAGTCCAGCCATTGAACGACGCTGGCAGCGCCCAAGCAAGCGGTTACTACCACGATGCCGCCGAATAAAGTGAGAATGCCGCGACCCGCATTCGATACCCGTTGATCGTCGCGCTGCAAGGGAAAATACACTTTAATGCAAATGGAATAGAAGATAATAGTGTCGAACGATGCAAATTAGACTTCATAGCAAGTAACATAACAGATAAAAGCTTAAATTAAAACAAAAAGGGAAGCAACGGCAGCCGCGTCTCAAAAGTGTACCGCTTAAATTAGGTGCATGCACACAATTCGCTTTAGTCACAATTTGACAAGCAAACACGTCGCACGTGCACTCATAAAACAAAATTGCGGAAATTCTGTGTTAAAAAGATAAAAGCAATACCTTCGATGCTTTCAACAAGTGCAGAAATTGTTCATAAACATATTACAAATTCCACTGCATCAAATTTGCATCGAAAGTATACAAAATGTAAATACAATATTTTCTCAAAAATTCGTTACGAATGTTATCCGCTTATATACGCTTTTTGTTATCAAGAAAAGGACAACAATACAGCTCAGCCGGTTGTCAAGTGACGCGGACTTGTTCGCTCTGCGTTTAAAGCGTACCATTCTGATTCGCGCGCTCGATTTAGTGTTTATTTATACGTGTGTGTGAGAGAGTTGCTTATGTAGTTGAGACGGAGCATATTTTTATTTGACGCCAGTAAGAGCGTACCATATCTTCCCTTCTTGTATTAATCTAATGATAAATGTGTTGAAAGATGCAATTTCCTGATAATAAATTTAGTATATTTATATTGCAAAAATGTAAGTGTTTAAATGAATTGTTGACTACTATAAATGCCAGTTTCTAAAATTACAGACTAAGTGTTGCACGAAACATGGCTCTTTGTCGTTTATGCCTAGCCACATTAAGCTATTACCTATCTACGATTACGATCATATAATCACGATATCATTCAATAGAAAATAAATGTTACTCATTAAATTAACGAAGGGCATTGAAACTTGTATGATTTTTCACTAAGATGTTATTAGATGAAGAGGCCCACGCCCGAATAGTTCTGTAATCGTATCGTATCTTCAATGTTCCTATGAAAACTAAGCAATGCCTCTAGCAGACGTAAGAAAAAACGACGATGACGATACGTTTACGAAACTAAATTTTCGAGCTTGGACCTCAGAACCACAGATCACTATATACTACTAGTCAAAGACAGATAGTACACTCAATTCTCTGTGTCTTTTTAGTTTTCAAAATCGACGCTCAGTGCTAGTGTCGCATATCGCAGACTTTGGAGACATTAATGAAGTGAACAGCTACCTAAATGACTTGTCGATATCGACATAAACTAGTGATGTAGTACAGTCGATAAAAATCGGTTTCTGATCCTAATAGTTTAAGGTACCTATTTTAAACTTTCCTTTGAAAAATATATCACAGAAGGTAAATTCAATTTGTTTAATTTTTGTTTCTTAATCTAAATACAACATATTTTTATGCATATATTTGCGCAGTAGTGCCCATTTTTAACACACATTTTTCACCATTGTCTCTTTTCAATATAATCACGTTTCTCCAACAAGTTTTGTTTAGACAATCCACTAAGTTCCATGTTTGTTGGTACTTAAAGAAGAAAGCCTGCACAGTTGCCTTGTACAATCGACCTTCGGAAGACTGAAAAGGCGATGGCCACGATTTTCACATGCGTGCAATTCCCGACACAGTATTTACGCATACTCACGAGGAAAAATGTAATCTGTGTAAATCTGTTTATTGGTGATATATAGAGGAACGATATAGTTTAATTTGTTACTCAAATCAACTATAATAGTGAGGAAACAAACACCGGCACTTTAACTCACTGCCCACACTTAGGTGTCGATTCAGGCATGGGTCTCTAAAACTTTATTTAACATCAGTTTCTCCTTTTCATTCTGTATAGAGAATGACAAGGATACACTGTTGTCAAACTTAAGTTTAGGTGTAGAGAATCATGCCAGAATCGACACCAATAATACTATGACAGACGTCAAACTTAACGTTGATACTGGGATGGTGACGGGCACACTAGCGCTTTGCGGCAGCAGCGGAACTAATAGTGTCACAGACCTGCTCAGAACTAAACGGCCGCCTGAAAGGGTTTGATTATAATTTTACTTTAACCTTTTTTTTAAGAATTTACCTGCAAGATGTTTGAATCTAAAGAAATTTTTACTAGAAAAAAATCCACGCGGACCAGGCGGGACTGGAACCCACGCCCTTCGCTTTCCGGGCGAATGCACTGACCATTATGCTACCGCGGCCCTGACGGCCGTATCGAATTTCCTCTAGGGTTTCTTAAGTGCAAGGCAGCGCTATCTCTTCGCAATGTAGGTAACCCACAATTACCAAATAAAATCAAAAAACTTGATATCAAAAGAGTCGTCATATTCTTACCTCATAGATAAAGCACTGTGCGATCGTAATGAGGGTTGCAAAGGTGGCGTGGAGCGAGAAAAAAACGTCATTCAGTTGTACTGGGTTCAAACCGCGGGGATGCCGACTGAAATACTCACTCTGAAAATCAAAATAGATTACATCGTCATTACTAGAATTATACAAGTTTATTTTAAATTTTGATATTGCATTGGTGTCGATTTTGGCACGATTCTCTAAACCTCAAATTAAATTTGACAACAGTATTCTTATCATTCTCTATATAGAATGAAAAGGAGAGACTGATGTTAAATTTTGAAACTGGACGACTCTGTATATAACAATACAGGGAGAAAAAACCAGCCCTTTCTGAGTTTCTTGCCGGTTCCTCTCAGTAGAAGGTCTCTCGCCGTAGTTTTGCGAACCGATGGCGTAGCTTCTTGACCTTCACAAGTGCTTGTAACAGCCTAGACTGAATAAATGATTTTTGATTGATTGATTGATTGATTTGATTTACTTTTATGTTAAGATAGTCAGACCAGAATCGGCACAATTGTATTAAAACAATGAGTCAAAAAAACTTATTTACATGCCTATTTTATTAAGAAAATCGACACGTTATTACCTAAATTTGAGAAAGCAAGCAAGGCAAGAGGCTTTTATTTTAATGGTGTGGTCAACGAAAGAATGCGATCCTGACATATCTGTGCCATTTCCTTATGGCGACAGAAGAAGAGTTTGTTTTCGTACTAGTTTCTACTAGATTTAAAAGTGTACTATTTTCAATAAATTAAAAGAATTGAGACGACTTGTCAGGGTCGAATTCTTTCGTTGGTCGCACTTATACCAATTAATTATGTTTATTGCATTTAATATCATGAAACGTCATCGTAAAACAGTCAATCCAGTAAAGCGTTGTGTTTATCGTATTGCCTGTCATGTGGCTACATCGTTAAACATTGAATCCAGTTCGATTTTGATATCGCCAGACGGACAGGTTAATGGCTATAATCATGAGTCTTAATGGCAAATGTACTGAATTATTCATAATCGTAATTCCAACTTCTTTCAGTACTACATTATATTGCTAATCAACAGTTCATTACTGAGGTAAAAGATTTAAATAAAAAGCAGACACTCTACACGTGATACTTTCAAACTATTATTCATATATGCAAAACCTTAATGAAGTTGGAAACAATTGATTCTGTATATATATCGGTATAAAATTAGCTTAATTACGAGAGGCTATTACTTTGTAATTTAAAGTCGAACACGTTCATAAATAACGAAACAATACTTCATTTAGTGAATAAGCACGATAGAAATGTTGTTGGTATTTTAATGCGAAGAAGTAATATATTGATTCACTACAGCACGAAAGAAGACGTACGAGGCGATTGAACTGAGGTTAGCGAGAAATCTTGATAGTGGAGACAAGAAAAAACTTGTTCTTTTTATATTTGACTAATGGCCCGCCCTCGCTTCGCTTCGGGGTAAAATTGATCAAAATCCTTTCTTAGAGGATGCCTACGTCATAACATCTACCTGCATGCCAAATTTCAGCCCGATCCGTTCAGTGGTTTGGGCTGTGCGTTGATAGATCACTGTGTCAGTCAGTCACCTTTGAGTTTTATATATATAGAAGTACATTTGAATTTACTAATGAGGAGCTGGCGAACAAAATGGTTTAATTACGCCTATGGTTTTGACCATATAATACTTAAGAAAAGTTTTACTAGAAAAAAAAACACGCGGATCATGACCCACCCGAACCATTGCGGCTTGGTCGGTCCTAACGACTGCAAATGCAGCTGGGTTAGTCTCGGATTGACGTGCCTTCCGAAGCAGAGAGACTTTATAGATGCAGCAACACCTTCTTATATTACTTATACACTGATCCAAAAACTCTAAGCAGCATTTTGTAAGGTTTTGAACTTTTAAACGATTTCCATTATTGTAATTTATTTATACTATATTAATATAAATACAATCAAAAAGTTGCGATTTTTAAAATCAGACTAGGTATTAAAAATAAAGAGCTCGATGGCGCAAGTGGTATGCGCGTTCGGCAGCGATCGTTGAACTTAGTCAACTTTCGCAGTGGTTGGTCATTCGATGGGTGACCAAAAATTTACTATCTCAAACTCCTCCGTGCTTCGGAAGGCACGTTAAGCCGTTAGTCCTGGCTGCATCAGCAGTCGTTAGCGACCACCAATCCTCACTGGGCCCGGGTGGTGGGTCATAGCCCAATCTCCCTATTCTATCCATAAGGAAGGCCTGTGCCCCAGCAGTGGGGACATTAATAGGCTGGTGATGATGATGATGTTGATGATTAAAATTAATTAATCAATACCTGAATTTCCTCAGAGAAGTATAGGCCGCAGTTGAACAACGAATACATAGTGAATCCCATGACGTTTAAGGCCAAAAAATCGAAGTTTAATCCAACGACGCTCTTCCGCTTGAAGTTGATGTAGATCTGCGGGTAGAAGGAGACCGACCACGCGGCGAAGTAGATCCAGCCCATTATGTAGGAGATTACGCTGATTATGTGGGAGTGCATCACGGTGATACGAAGGAATACGGTGTCGAGGCTGTAAGGAGTAAAAGTAAAAAGGTTATTATGGAACCTTTATTATTTAAATAAATAAATCGTTTATTTCTCGTCACAACATTATGACATCGACAACATTTTTTTAAATAACTAATTATATTTTTATAGGCATATGGATGTATAGACATTTAACAATCGTAGTATGAGTACCATTGATGTCATGAGAGGTCGGTGTCTGAACTAAGCCGAGCTTGTATTTCAGAGCACCGAGAACTCATTTACAAATAAAAATGTTGTCCGATCAATTGACTAAAAGCAGTAGAAAAAATAATCTGCGGAATACTAAGTTGCCTGTGGGAATAGTAAAAGTACATCTACAGAGTCACAAGGTTATCAATCTATAGTTTGGAGAAAATTGATAGTTCATAGAATAACCAATCAGTGCAAGTAGCCTTCGGAATTTTCTGCAAACGTATATCCCTTTTAAGAAACTTTGTGCATCCAAGCAAGACTAGATATATTGGCCACAGGCTCGCTTAAGTTTAAAGAGTTTATATCTATTTCTTTGTAACTAGATAGGTAATTAACTGAATCCTGCATGATCTTAAGAGGCAGTAGAGTCCAGACTCTAAGGTAGGCAAAGCCTCTGTTTTATCTGCTATACCAGCAATCCTTACCTTGCCGGTCTGCACAAAAGCTTCTACACGCCTTAAAAAGTTCAAGGACAATTTTACCAAATTCTTTCACTCAACGATGCTCGTTTGGAGCAAAAAGGATAGACATAGACCGAATAATTTAGGATTTTTTGGGATATTATCAACCTGTGTTGTCGCACAACGTAATTACGATGTATACTACTACTGTATGTATCGAGGAAATTGTAAAAAAACAAAGAACTCACTTGAAGAACCCACTGAGGGTAACATTAAAGGTGAGCTTAGAATAGCCCGGGCTCTCTCCGTACGCGCAGATGCCGTGTGTGATCTTCACAGTGGTGTTGTATGTTAGTAAGAGCGAGTGAGAGACAGAACGAATTGACTGCACTTAACGATATGGTCTTGTCAGTGACAGTCTTGATTAAAAGGTACAGTCAACCAAAGATGTACTTATAAAAAATGTAAAAACAAACAACTCACTTGACGAACCCACTGGGGGTAACATTGAAGATGACCTTACAATTGCCCGGGCTCTCTCCGTAAGTGCAGATGTCGTGTGTGATCTCCACAGTAGTGTTGTTACATGTTAGTTAGAGCGAGTGAGAGAGAACGAATTGACTGCACTCAGCGATGTGGTCTTGTCAGTGACAGTCTTGAATAAGAGGTAAGGTAAACCAAAGATTACCTTTAAAAAAATGTAAAAACAAACAACTCACTTGACGAATCCATTGGGTGTGACATTGAAGCTGACCTCGGAATGACCTGGGCTCTTGCCGTACGCGCAGATGTCGTGTGTGATCTCCACAGTGGTGTTTGGTTCAGGTGTCCCTGGTATCTCTACTGTGGCGGGTACAAATTGCACTAAGTCCGGGTGTTGGATCTGTGCCGTCACCTCTAAGGTGGTGTTGTATTGACCACTAGAACAAAAGTTCGTATCAGAAAAAAATGCTTACCAGAAAAAGTGAAAAAAGGCCGAAATAATGGAAAAAGTTCGTAATTTAGAAATTGAACTACTCCAACGGTCGGTTTCAGAGACATGAAATAGAGATGTGGTTTAGTCGCGTGTTGCCTTCTATACCTAGTTATTGCAAAGAAAGTGAGTGCATCAACTTTAATGAAACTTAAAATTTACTTGCCTTACCTAAGCGCGACCGTTAGACATAAAAAATCAATTTAATATTTTGTATCGGAGACTTCTTTTTTTATATTAACTGTTTCCTATGTGTCTGCGCAAGCCAATGATTGAAATAAAACACTCAAATATCTGTTAACTTATCGCAATTTTTTGACGTCAAAGAGCCCATTCTTTCTGTGTGATCATAATTTAAAAATGGAATAGATCTTGTGACCACAAAAAAGAATTCTTAACGTCAAGTCAGTAATAAATGCAATGGAGAAACAAATTGACAATTATTCTGCCAGAGGCGCTGATGTCGTATGCCTCAAAACAATTCATGATCCCGGACAAAATCAATACAAAAAAAAATTAGATATTTTTTAAGAGTATTTCATTAAATGTTTCTATTAAATAAACATGTTTATAATTTTAAATGCTAAAGTTTTTTCATTCAGACTACACTACGACTACGACAATACTTACATTTGGACCAACTTCAGAAGATAGGTCTCATCGACCAATATCTTGAGATCTGTTACATCGACGTACATTTTCTCTATTTGGGAATGTGCGCTTGGTAAACCTGCAATTTGAAAGTGTAATAAAATTTTACTATATATACTATCATATGACTTTTTATACCTACTAATAAAATACGCGTAATAAATCATCTTATTTTCGCAGCAGTCATTCGTAATTTTAAATATGCTTTTTGGTTGCATAGGTAGAAACAAAGCTTTAAAATTTTATCAATTTCCCATACACATGTAAAATTTACGTGGACCATAGACATTGGTCATTTTAGGGGTTAATCGCCATCAGCCCATTAATGTTCCCACTGCTGGGGCACAGGCCTTCCCTATGGATGGAATTGTGAGATTAGGCCATGACCCATTATACAGGCCCAGTGCGTATTGGTGGGTGCTAACGACTGCAGATGCAACCGGGACCAACGGCTTAACGTGCCTTCCGAAGCACGGAGGAGCTCGAGATAGTAAATTTTTGGTCACCCATCCAATGACCGACCACTGTCAAAGTTGCTTATCTTCAACGATCGCAGCCGAACGCGCACACCACTTGCGCTATCGAACTCCTCTAGGGGTTGATACAAAGCTATATTTTCTACACAAACATAGTTCTGATGGACCAAAACAATTATTAGACTTACCTATAACCAACATGGCAATAACTATGTGTACAAAACAGTTGCTTATTCTATGACTAGATGAGATTCCTGCGCCCCCTCTGGGGAACGAAACTGTATTGCCGCCGCTCGCCATCTTGTTCTAACGTTGTTTTATCTGTGAACAAATAAAAAGGCATTGTATAAAAATAAAATTTGGGCATCTTTAGTAATAAAATCTTTTAAGAAACATACTCAAGCCGTCAAAAAAACTGAAAAGCAGAAAATAATAAACCCTTTTTATTGGGTTCAGTGATGGCAATGCATGGGCATTGCTGATAGATCTGAGGCACATTTACGAGTTGGGTTACCATGGCACGGACTCCAAATATTAATGTGACTTTTAAAAAGGTTTTATAATTTTCTGTTTTTCTGTGTTTTCGGCGGTTAAATTATTTTGCTAATTGTTTATATTTTATTATTTTTTGTGACATTATTTTATTTTATATACATCAAATCAGTGAGTGAACAATGACCCTATTTCCCCACTTAGGGTAGAATGATTGTTTCCAAATTTATCTAGGACCAACTTTTAGGTATTATACCCTATCAAAAAAAAACATGCCAAGTGCGGGTCGTGCCACGCTCCGTGTAGGGTTCCGTAGATATTTTAAAGTTTTTAATTAATCTTTTAATGTGTTCTTCTAAGGATTTTTATTAGGTGAGATTTCTTTAATTCCAATACCTAAGTTGAACCACTATACTCTTAAACTAACTGATCTATCTTAACCATCATAATTTTCTTTGGAAGATCTTAAAGAGCACTATTTTCATAATTTTCCAGAAATTTCTAGCCAATAGTTTTGCTTTTAGATGGGGAAGGGGGACCTACTCGAACAAGAATGTGCGCTTTAAGGTTTAATATTGCACAAAATTCTTATCCAAGCTAAATCGAACAATAGTTAGTATTCCCTAAGTCGTTTTAAAGGAACTATACAACAATACCCAACACGACCGGAGTAGACGATGAAAAAATAAATTCACCCGGACTTTATATAAGGGTGGTGTTTCTATAAGGGGCTAGATAGATACCTTATAAAAAAAATGGTTTTTTTTAATAAAAAAAATGTATCAAAATCGGACTACTGTGTAAAAAGTAATGCGTGATCTGATCTGATCACATATAAAAAATATGCGTCGAATTGATAACCTTCCTCCGTTTTTTTCGTCGGTAAACAAACTAAATTCAAAAACAGGTTTACCCGCCGTGGCACGTCGCTGTCTCTTTTGTTTTATTTTGCATGTACTATGCAGGTATAAGTTATATTATAACTGAAATGGTTAATTCATTAAGGCAAATTAAATAAAAATAGATTTTTAGCTAAAAATAAGATAAGATTATCCTTTTGCACAGATATCAAAATAGGATTTTTCCAGGAACTATTGATTAAATAAATTACAGTGGCTATGCTTAACAATATACCTAGTTAAAACGCCTCTTGACGCAGTCGCGTAAAAACTTAAATTCTATTTATTACATACAATAAAAATAATAGTAAAAAATATATATTCACTGACGTATTAAGAACCTACTCCTCTTAGAAGTCGGTTAAACAACACTAATTTCAGCAGATGTTTCTGCATAGTATAAACATGGTTGAGCTATAAAAATTACATAACACACCAACATTCTAGCGATAACAATAAGTTATATCGTGGAGCGATCGAAAATACATTTTATGGTATTGCATTTGAGGTATGCCTATTAATAAACCTGTACTGAAGTTTAATAACAATTGGATAAATTTTACTTGACTATACGGCACGTGTGTGTATATGGTCTGTCAAATGATAGATACTTCGATTAACAATCATCAATACATCAGCTTTATTGATTGAAGAATAGATAGTATATTAGAGATCTCATAGTGAAAACAAAAAGAAAAGGAATCACAAACCATGATAAACCTATATATATATATTAATCATCATCGAGAATAAAATTAAAGCATTAGGTTTATTTAAATTTAGATAAATATATTATATAAAAATGTAAATAAATAAATATTAGCAACACTCACACCAATTAGCCTAGCCCCAAAAAAAGCACTGGGATATGGGATGTGTTATGGGATACTAGGGTAAAGAATACATATACTGATAAATATATAAGTATATTCATATTACACATTAAACATCCATGACTGGAGTGGAGTACAAATGCTCGTCTTCATCACACAAACATCTGTTCCTCCGGGATTCGAACCCGGGACCTCTCGAGGAGGCGATACCTTGAAACCCGGGTCTACAAAGCACGGTTACGGAGGTCGGCAAAAGTATCGATATTAATTATCCTTACACCTAAAAAAAACTATATTAAGATATCATATCTGGATACCAGTTCTCAAGGTCTTAGCAGATATTTGTGTATAATGGATTCTGTTTTTGATGTGTAACATCTGTCCTCTCGCTTTTCTGCAATTTTTGGGAGTGATTTCGAGAAATAGGACGGAAGTGTGTGACAGTAAGTCAAACACTTCCGTCCCATTTTGATTTTAGAACATAATGTTCTAAATTAATTTTAGAACATAATGTTCAAATGGCTTATTCCTTTTGTAGTAGGTTTTATTTCTTTTTTTACTAACATAAGGTGAGGTTTTAAATTTTTAAATATATACTTTTCTTTATCATGATCAACAATGACTGCATTTAGGTCTAAACATTTTGTCATTGACCTTTATTTACTTACCTATATACATTTCATTTCATTCATTGGGAAATATTGTCACTTAATACACTAACTTTATCTTTTGCGTTAAGTTACACAATTAGCTTCCAGGAAGGTTGAAAAAGATTTTTGATTATGTTAACTACTTAGTACTCTTTTCCAAAAATTCGTGAAAAGATAAGTCAATAAAATCTAACTGATCAGTTTAAACAAGTACCGGGATTCCCTGAATTGCCTTCAGAATCATATCTATTCAATTTATGCGGTTAAATTTCATTAACTGTCAAATTATGGATTATAAAATTTGTTTAAGATCAAATCACATAAGATTTAACACGCGAAAGACCCGACGTGTCTATAATAACGTTAGCATTTATTTTGACGCTGACAAGAAAGCAACTTTCTATGAACTATTGCCTATCACATCAATAATTGGGTAATAGAGAATAAGCACAGTGAAATACAGTTAACATCAGTTACAAATATATAGAGAGGTAACAAGTAATATCTAAATACTACAACAAAGGCTAGTAGCTAGTTGGTTATAAATTCAGAATTTAGAAAGAATTTATTAGCTATTAGCTTAATAGAATTACTAACTCCATTAAGAATTTAGTTACAAATTAAATTCAATAGATAACTTGTATATACCCAGAAGTTTCCAATCAAGAGTGGAAAGGAGACAGAGTAATAATACCAAGGCAAACGAATGGCAAACATAACATACTTATCATTCAATAAGACACGGGTACTTGCACAACCTTAGCCCTAAACATCAATATAATAGGACCAATTTTCCACTTGTCATCTGCCCTTGACACTATAGATTTGAAGTGTTGAGATTAAAATATATCTCTTCTGTTATCATTGAAAAGAACAAATTTCCTTAGAACGAAATACTGCGGCGAAATACAAAGCAATAATTTCGACGAAATCGTTGAGTAATTTTATATTACTCCATGCCAAAAGAAAATATTTATTAGAATTATTTTGATAAATATTCTTATTAACGAGTAAGTTCTGTTCAAATTGGAAAGTAGTTTTTACGAACGAGCAAAGATAGAACATATTACAGGCTTATAGGTTGATAAGTACCTGTTTTAACAGAAACCTTAACAAATTTTACCTTATTGATTTTCCATGCATATTATTTTTTTAATTTCTGTAAACGAACAGTGAAATATTAAAAATTATCATTTTCACTGCTATAATAAAACCTACATTAATTAACCGTCCAATGATATTTTATTAAAACAATTATGGCCATATTGAAGCCATATTAAACCAGACCAGTAGCAACCTCGATTGCACGGTACACTTAAACAGTGGTTTGTAGAACAGTGGATAAAAACTGGTCAATCATCAATATACACAACACGGACTCAACAGAAAGTAGCCAGTCAATTCTTAACTATACCCATTCATTGATACGAGGCCTTAAATAGCATAAATTATGCAACCAGCCTTGTAAATAAGCCATAAGAAATTTTAAATAGACTTGATTTTCCCACAGAACTGGTTATAAACTGTTGTCTAATTATCCAAAGCTTAGACACATAAACGAATCACAAACGGCATTAATAGAAATGTGTAGAACTGTAGATAGAAGATATAAAGCGGATTTTCCATTGTCAAAATATCCTCCACCTTAGAGAAGTTACATATTTTCTGACAGTTGATGCTCCTTAAAGTGACAATCGAAATTAAATAAAAGAAAATATCAATAAGATAACACTATGATCAAACTTCTGATAATAACAAACTCAGTATTTTGACCAAATAAATGTGCAAATAAGAATATAGAATATATATGTAGTTATTTACGAAACCGAAAAAAAATATCTTTCGAATAAATATATCACATATCGTTTTACATATAAATATTTATAACCACTGTGACTGACGAAAAGATGTAAATCATGAGGATAACCACAACATTTTCTTAAGTAGTTGTATTCAATTTATGAAGACAATGTATGAAGTACCTAAATGTTCCTTGAAATAATGTAAATTGTGGAGTCTTTATGAAATACATTAAGCGTGAAGTGAACCTAATATATTTTGCATATACTAAACATAAAGCGTAACGAATGCTTAAATTTTTATAACAAAAGCCTATAATAATCTTCCGGAACCTAGAATGAATGTAAATCTAAAAAGTTCCATGTTAATCTTTATACGAGAAATCGTTTCATAGATGGTACTTTTTATTTTTGAATTCTGACTCATATTTAATACTACTTGTGTTTAATAAAACATTTCAAAAGCTTAAAATCGTTTCCCCTAATATTGTTAGTTGCTACATAAAAACGTATCTGAAACTTCGTATTTTATCTAAGAAATATGATAATCTTTTGTAGAGATATTATCCATGGCTATGGCAACGGGTGCAAATAGAGCATCGGTCCCAAAGTAAATACAAAAAAAAAAGGTGTGCAATATTAATAAGT